GTGCTCTACAAAGCGGTCTCCGAGTCTCCGCTTGATCTCACTGATGTATAGGAGGCCACATCGGGAGCAGCTGATGCAGTAGACCACATTAGCAGATGTGCAGGTGAACCTCTGTCTGATGTGGAAGGTTTTTTTGGGTTCTTGGATGGAGTTGAGGGGAATGTGTAGGGGCAGGTGTAGCACTTCTTGCGGTTGCAGGGAAAGGTGCCAGGGCGGTGGGGCTAGTGGGGAATGTGGAGCAGACGAGGGAGTCACGGAGAGAGCGGTCCCTACAGAAGGCAGATTTGGGTGGGGAGGGAAATATGTCCTTGGTTGTGGGGTCAGATTGCAGGTGGCGGAATCTCTCTTCCATTTCCCGCACCTCTGCCATCACATCCCTTCCCTGCAACAAAAATAAAGACAGAATCCTGCTTAGCCTCACATATCACCCCACTAACCTCTGGATTCAACGTATCATTTTCTGCCACTTCTGCCACCTGCAACCGCAGGAAGTGATACACCCGCCCCTACATCTCCCCCCTCACCTCCATCCCAAAAACCGAAAACCTTTCACAACAGACAGAGGTTCACCTGCACATCCGTTAATGTGGTCTATTGCATCCGCTGCTGCCAATGTGACCTCCTCTACAATGGTGAGACCATGCGGAGGCTCGGAGACCACTTTGTAGAGCATCTGCGCTCTGTTCATGACAAACGACAACACCTTCCAGTCGCAAACCACTTCAACTCTCCCTCCCACTCCCTGGGCGACATGTCCATCCTGGGCCTCCTCCAGTGTCACAATGACGCCACCTGGAAACTGGAGGAGCAGCACCTCATATTTCACCTTGGGAGCCTACAACCCAATGGTCTCAATGCGGACTTTACCAGTTTCAAAATTTCCCCACCCCCGGCCTCATCCCATGTCCAACCCTCCCTATCATCCCCGCCTCCGTGACCTGACAAAACCTGTCTGTCTTCTCTCCCATCTATCTGCTCCTCCCACCTCACTGACCAATCCCCACCACTGCTTACCTGCAGTTACATATCACCATCCCACCTACCTTCCCCAGCCCCACCTCTCCTCTCTGTATTTATTTCAGAGCTCCTTTACCCCTCCCCCATTTGTGAATAAGGGTCCTGACCCGAAACATCAGCTTTCCTGCTCCTGTGATGCTGCCTGGCCTGCTGTGTTCCTCCACGTCCACACAGTGTTATCTCTTGGTTAATTGTTGTTTTTCAGATTGATCCATGGGAATCTTCAACACTGTGCTCCTTTTGTACCTTTTTATAATTATCTAAATATACAAGATTTAGATATTTGAATATTGAGTTTTGGACAAAAGATACCAAAGGGATATGAGGAAGTTTTTTTCTTTTTTGTCTATATTCACAAGTGCTCCTACATATAACTGAGGAAGAACATTTTTAAGTACCAAATGAAAATAGCCTGGAAACTCCTGGCTATGGCTACAGTGGAAGTACAGACAAGAACACATTCAGAAGAAATTGGATGGCATTTAAAGGAAATAAACTTGATGACCATAATAGAGCAGGAGGAATAGGACTGACTAATTTGCTCTTCAGGGATTCAACATAGACTCCTGTGCCACGGTGATTCCATAGGCTAAATTATATGAGGTGTTGGATTCCCAACTGCCATGGTTAAAATTGGTTCAGGGTGGAATCTGCCAGTTTGGGTGCTGGGGGGAGGGGCAAGAGAACCATTTAACAACCCATTTGCTGTTAATAGGCATGGAGGAGCGATTTCTGCCTCTGACTCAGGATGTCCCACCTCCAGCCAATCGGAGGCCCCATTGGTCTGGACAGAAACATTGAATTAAGATATGATTACATTTCTGGGGTCTTGATGGGTGCCCAGCTGTCTGCCCAGCAAGGAGGATGGGAGACTGGTATTTGAGAAGTCAACAGGAAAATGACAAGTTGTATGGTGCCAGTATAAAACTGAGAGGAGCCTCCAATGGACGCAGCATGTCCGTTGGGAAAGGATTCCACCCTTGCCTGCCAAAAGCTGATGAAAGTAAACTTGCTGGGCTGACTGCTTGAAATAGGCCGCTATTCCCACTAATTAAATCCTGGCAGAGGCAATTAATTGGACTCACCCCTGTCACTGTTATTATTGCTGCTGTAGAGGCGAGGGTGGAGAGAGGATCAGATGGGATGTGCTGGCCACCTGCTAGATTTCAAACCTACTGCAATCTGAATGTAAAATCCAGCCTATAATATTACAGTAGCATGTCTGAATATCTTACTTATTCTTCAATTTTCGTTCTTTTTACCAATAAATGAAGGTGTTACACAGGTACTGCAGCATTCAACATTGTTTCTTTAAGTGGAAATGTAAAATTCTAATAGCAACGAAGCACTAACTCATATTTGTTCATTTACATTTACATTTTGAAGAAATCCACAATTTAGCACTACACTGAAAATCCTACTCAAAGTCTATAGGTTAGGTGGTGAAGCAAACAAAAAGTAACATTGCTCCAAATGAAGTTTTGTGACTTTTTTTTCTCCTTTGTATTCAGTCAATAAGTTTTAAAGACTCTATAGCAAGCAGGCTTCACTCATTTACTATCTAGTCAATAAAGGTGAAAATTACTTCCCCTCGGTGTCGATAGTAGAGACTTTATTAAAATTTGGTTTTGCTTTACCTGTTGATATTGAGAGCCCAAACTGTTTCAATCGTATCATTGACATCCCTCACCCTATCCTAACTATTTACCAAGAAAATATTTTAAGAGGGAAACCTCAATACGAAATTAGGCTGAATCTTTTTTTCAAAGAAACAGTGGCCTTTTGCTGCAAGGATCTAAAATATTTACACCAAATTCATAAACAGGATTTTGAAGAATAAAAATTAACACGTTATTTGTGTTAATGCTCATTTTCAAGTTTCGTAATAATACTTAATTTTAGTTTAAAAAGCTTACACAAATTTAATATAAATAATCTTCATAAATCAACTAGATGATGTTGGCTTATTTTACTTTAAGGCATGTGGACATACAAATTAGGAGAAGTAGTAGGCCGTTTGGCCCTGAAAGCCTGCTCCACCATTCAATAAGATCATGGCTGTTGATGCTCAACTATTTACGTTCGAGTTGAAAGGGATTTATGTTAAATAATTTTCTAGCATTTCTCTTACTTTAGTATTTGTGTATCTGTCCATGTTAGGTCAAGCACAGACATTGATAGCTAAGTGGTTCATTTCTGTGTATGTATTCTTCTATTGCTGTAAAGAAATAGTCATATCTGAATTATTTTATTAGTAGTTGTGAGCATTGTGAAGAAATTGCCAAAGGGTAAGACTGAAATAGCTGAAAAATTGAAAGTCAAAGGAACCCAGTATAGTACATGAAGCTATTTTAATCAGTATGTACATTGAAGAGCACCAGATAACCCCATATTTGTATCTTATTCTGCCTAGTTACTGTGCAGGATGAATATTAGTTTTAACCATTTCAAACTCATAAATTAGTGGCAAGTCCCAACAGGAACGTCCTAGATTTGAAATTAGGCCTCAGGCCTCACATATTTTTCCCAGTAGCTGTCAGTACTGATTGTGCCTCCACAAGCAACTTGTATGTCTTATATTTTTGATTATTGGATTGCTTACTGCATTGGCAAAGACTCAAAGGTAATTCCCAGCTTTTGGTTATCAGTGGGAATGGGTGCAGCTTAGGCTGTTTATTTCAACTGCCAGGAGTGTGTTTTCATGACCTGCTGCCTCACATTCCTTGGTCATTCTCATAGTACACTGCTTTTGTGCTCAAACCACTTGGAAAGCAGAAAGACCACTGTCTCCACTACACTTGGCTGTTTCATAGACAGTCTTGTCTCCCTAGCCTGTCCATTAGCAAAGAAAATTTTAAAAGAACACTTTGACACCCAACAGACTTATCTCCAGGTTGCTCACAATTGCTTCAAGACTTGGAGACTCGGGGCCAATGCTGAAGAATTAACAACCTGTAAGGTTCATGATGGAGGAGATGGAAGAAGTTGGTGATTGTGGACTCGGAGGAACAATTGTAGTCCTGTGGACTCAGAGGAACAATTCTGCTTCTAATGGCTCCACAGAAGTGCTCAATTCAAAACCAGCTTCTTCAAGACAGCTTAACATAAATGCTTAGTTTCCCTTTGAGATATGCAAAAAATTACCAAAAGCTTGGTCAAAGAGGAATTTTAAGGAATGTGTCAAATAAGGCAAGTGAGATGGATGTTTAGGAGAGAATTTTAAATGGTAGGACCAGTGCAATTGTACTGAACATCAGTATTCACTTTGATATGATCCCGGCAACTTAGACCTTCATGTTATAATCTGAGCTATAGTAAGTGTTAAGATTGATCAAAAAAAAATTGAAGGGAATAGGTCTTATAGTTAATTACAAGACAAGTCTTACATTACAAGTCTTATAATGAGAGTGATGCCAGCTGTAATTATCACACACTGGAATATAAGCACAGGCAGAGAGGAGAGCTGAAAATTTCTGATGGTAATTTGAAAAGAATTAACAAATTTACTATTGTTCTTATTCAAATGATTTTTAAGAAGCAGGATCAATATTCTAATGTCAATCAATAAAATTTGATTCAACGTCGTTCTTGGGAAGAACTTCATGGGGAAGAAAATTTAGTCAGCAATACATACAGCAATTCAATCTCTTCCCTGGTCTGATGTGTCATCACTAAAGGAAGAATCCAGTGAGTATCCATGGATCTCCAGACATTTCATTCAAACTACAAGATCATTGGTGTATTATCACCTTGAGTTTATCTCAGTTGATTTTCACTGATGGTTAGCATGGCATATTACATGGGAATCTATTTCATAACTGTCCAGATCAATCTACTTCAGTTGTCTCAGCTGTCAGCAAGTCACCAAGCTGCGCTCATGGCAGTCTGTCCTGATTAAATATTATGGTATTAACAGAAGACAGCCTAAGAAGGTGAAACAAACAAATAAATATGGTGATTTTCAACGCTATTACTTTCTACAGGACCCAAAGATTTGCATTTTATTTGGAAGAAAAATGGTCAAAGGGTGACAGAATCGGTTACGCACCAAACACAGCCATTAAGAGATGGGAGAATCCATATTATCAGCTGGCTGAAGGACACAGTAACAACTGACACACAATATCATTGTCATGTTATATCCAATAAAGGAAAAGCAAAGTCAAACGTACTCATTGTCGTTAAAGGTAAGCACTGAGACATCAACTTGCATGTTATATTGCATCTAAAAATACATAATGTCCCAAAGCTTTTTAGATTCTTCCAATTTGACTGCTTCCCAAGTCAATAATAACCTGTCAGCATTTTTAAAGACTCTGTGAGCAGCACAGGATAAGCATCCCTTATTTGCTTTTTAGTCGAAGCACAAGCTTGTTCTTTTTCTCGAGTCTAATGACAATGACTTTTCATTTTTATCTCTATTAGAATCTAACTAAAACAAGGTAAAAAATAAATAAACAATAAAGATCCAGCCATGCAAGAAAGAATTAGAAGGGGTAATTAAGCTTCAATTGGCATTGAGAACATTTTTAAAGGTACAAATGTTGGAAGTTTGATGTGAGGCAGTTCTAGAGAGTTGAGGCAGTTCTAGAGAGTTGAGCCAAAGGACAAAAGGTTGTACCACCAAAGAGGGATTGCACAAAAGGACAGAGCCAAGAGGACTTTATGGTATGGAAGGAAATATACAGCTAACCATGGAGGCTATTAAAAACTTGGAGTCAAAGTAGTTTAGCAAAGATGTGGGGTGATGATGTCTCTGCTTTACAGAGGAAGGCAATTGTATTTTGGTTGTTCTGAGGAAGAGTCACTAGACCTGAAGTGTTAACTCTGGTTTCTCTCCAGCGATGCTGCCAGATCTGCTGAGCTTTTCCAGCAATTTCTGGTTTTGTTTGTCTTTTGGTTGAGTTGGAACCATTGGACCATTGACGTCGGAATGCGAGTGAGGAGAACCCTTTCCAGTAATAAAAAATATTTATACGTACAAAAATATTCCATTTGCTTCCCAATGACACTGAAATTAAACATTTTGAAATGTTTTTGAATATTTTTTCAATAATGCACAAAAGGGTAATAGTGCAAAGTGAGATAAACATACTATATTCCTATAGGTGCAATTATAGGTGATACATACATTGAGATAAATTTGCGAAGTGAACATTGATTTTACACAATGAAGGTTGAAAGTTTTTTTTAATGTGGAGTATTCTAAAAGCTTGTACCTTTTGGCTAAGTGCAATCCTGTTATCATGGAGTTGAAGGAAATGACAATGTTGTTAATTACCCCAACATTCTTCCCCTCATAAGCTATAATGCCAAAAGATGTTGCTAGCCACCATTTGCTATATTATTACCAGGTGTCTGTACGTGTGGTAGTGACTTGGTGTGTTTGATGTTGACACTGTCGATGAATAGAGAGGAGACTGAGAATTTCCTGGTCTGTATAGTTCAACCATGGATTGCCTCAGGAGTCTTACTAATATTATTTTCCCACATTAATATTTCATGTACATTACAGAATAACGGACCTAAACTGACCAACATTTCCAACATTTGAGAGATGCTGCTTAAAGAGGGAAGATCGAAAGTGAAAGAGGATTCAAACTGCACTGACATACCATTCTGAATAGTTAAAAACTTAGAGCATTATCATTAATTCTGAAGAAGTCACATCAAGCATTGAAACATTAGCTATGTATCTCTCTCTACAGATGCTGCCAAACTGCTGAGGCTCTCCAGCATTTTATTTCAGTTTTCCAGCATAAGATCATAGACCATAAGAAAAAGGAGCACAAATAGGCCATTCAGCCCCTCAAGGCTACTCACCATGGCTGATCTGCAGTATTTTGAGTTACTAGAGTTACAACTGACCAAAACATGTAGGCATTTTGTTTAATGGACTTAATCTTAAGAGTGGGACAGAGGCACTGTTGGCACTGTTGGGTATTGCAGAGAACAACCCTTTGTGTTTATATGACAGCAATTGAAATTATCAATCTAAAGTCAAAGCATAACAAACTCTGGAGGGAAAGAACAAGTATCAAAGCAAATATAGTTCCTAGAATCACAGTTGGTCTGACAGTAATATGATATTCATTCTCTGCCCAAAAGTAAGGCCTGGATTCATAGTCTTCTGCTGCTTCACCTCGAGCCAATTCCTTAGCAGGTCTTTTTGGGGTTGGTATGCAAAAGTCTTTCATTTTCCAAGGCAGGAGCCGAGTCTACCTCAGCAGGAATATGAGGCAAAAGTATGCTGTCAGCATTATTCTAAATCTTACTGTCCAGTCAACAGTCCTATTTAAACAACTCACTAGAGGAGGAGGGTCGATAAATATCCCCATCCTCAATGATGGAGGAGCCCAGCACATCAGATAAAAAGTATCAGATAAAATTATGAAGCATTTGCAACAACTAACATTCAGAAGAGTTGACAGGATGGTTCATCTTGCCCTCTTCTGGAAATCCCCAGCATTTCAATTGCCAGTCTTCAGCCAAATGTTGATATCATTTGAAGTGAATCAAGACTGTTGGAGGCACTAGACACTGCAAAGACTTTGGGCCTTGATAATATGCTGACACTAATATTGAAGACAATGCTGACATCTACCTAAAAATGTGGAAAATTGCCCAGGTATGTTCTGCACACAAAAAGCTAAATAAATCCAAACTGGCCAATTATAGTCCAATTAGTCTAATCTTGATAATCAGTAAAGAAATGAAGGTATAATCAATAGTACTATCAAGCTGAGTGTGCTCAGCAATAAAGTACTTTCTAAATCTCAATATAGCTTCTGCCAGAGCCTTTCAGCTCCTGACATGGTTACTTTAGCTCAAACAGAGTAAAGAGCTGAATTCCAGAGGAAAAGTGAAACTGACTGTCTTGATAGCAAGACAGCTAGGTGTCCGAGCAAAATAGCAAGTCAATGGGAATCGGGAAAAGTTCACCACAGTTAGGAGTCATACCTGGTATGTTGGAAAGTAGTTGGACGTTAATCATCTCACCTCCAGAACATGTCTGTGGGAATTCCTCAGGGTACTGACCTGTGCACACCATCTTCAGCTGTTTCATTCATAACCTTCCCCTCATAAAGTCAGAAGTATGGATGTTCGTTTGATGATTGCATATTGTTCATCATCATTCATAGCTCCTCAGATACTGAAGCAGCCCATGTTCAAATACTGAAAGACCTAGACAATATCCATGTTTGAGCTGACAGGTGGCAAGTAACATTTATACCACACAAAGACTGGGCAAAGAGCATCTCCAACAAGAGCTTCCAACCATTGTTCCCTGACATTTAATGGCATTATCGATACTGAATCCCCATTATCACTATCCTGAACTGGACTAGCCATATAAATACTGTGGTTACAAATGCAGGTCAGAAGCTAGGAATCGTGTAACGAATAACTCATGTTCCGATTGCCCAGTTAAAAAGTACAAGTCATGAATGTGATGGAATACTTCCCATTTGCCTGGATGAGTGCAGTTTCAACAACACTCAAGAATCTTGATAACATCAAGTCCAAAACCGTCTGCTTGATTGGCATCACATTCACAAATATTCATTCCCTCCACCACCTCTGAGTAGCCTCAGTGCGTACCATCTACAAGATGTACTTCAGTGTCACTGATTCAAAATCCTGGAACTCCCTCCTCAACAGCATTGTAGGTCTATCTACAGCAGTGGACTGTAGCAGTTCAGGAGAGCAGCTCACCACCACCTTCTCAAGTACAACTTGGGATGGACAATAAATGCTGGTCTAGCCAATAATGACTACATCTCATAAATGAATAAAATAACTGACTCATTGACACACAGTATAGAAAGCACAAAAACATTAACATTTCAGTTTGATTAGTTATTATCAGAAGAGTTGCTCCACAAATTCAGAAGATCTGGCAGTGCATTTTCAAGTCCGCTGACCCTGCCTCGGAACTGACGGTAGCTTGGAAAATGTTAGTTTATTAGCAGAAGATAGAGTGGGGGGAGGGGCTAAGGAGTAAATGATAGGTGGGGATAGAGCCCAAAGGGAGAAAAGAACGGTTGGGCAGACAAAGGAGTTGATAACAATTGTGCTAGAAGGGTCAATAGCTGTTTATGGGGACAGTAAGGGCTTCGGCCAGAAACATTGACTCCCCTGCTCCTCGGATGCTGCCTGACCTACTGTGCTTTTCCAGCTCCACAGCTGTTAATGGGGATTGTTAGTGACGAACAATAGATAGTGTGTAATGGCAGTTTATGTGATGAGAAAGCCTGCTATGTGAGGTAGGGGGCTGGGACATGGGAGAGTTCAGGCCCTAAAATTATTAAACTCGATATTGAGTCCGAAGGTCTGCAGGGTCCCCAAGCAGAAAATGCGGTGTTGTTCTTTCAGCTTGTGCAGAGCTTCACTGGAACACTACAGCAAGCCTGAAACAGATGTTGGCTAGGGAATTGGGTGGTGTGTTAAAGTGCCAGGCAACTGAAAGCTCAGGGTCATTTGCAGTCACCCAGCCTACGCTTCGTTTCCCCAGTGTAGAGGACACCATATTGTGAGCGGTGAATGCAGTAGATTAGATTGTGGGAAGTGCAGCTTCACCTGGAGGGTATATTTGGGCCCTCGGATACTAGGGAGAGAGGAGGTGAATGGGCAGGTGTTACACATTTGGCGGTTGCGGTGGAAGGTGCTGTGGGGCTGTGGTGAAGGGAGTGAAGGAAGAGTGGACCAGGGTGTCTCGGAGGTAACAGTCCCTGCCGAAGGTCAACAAGGAAGGGGAGGGGATATGTGTCTGATGGTAGCATCTTGCTGGAGGTGGTAGAAATGATGGCTGATGATCTTTTGTATGTGGATGTTGGTGGGATGGTAGGTAAGGACAAAGGGAACCCTTTTGCTGTTGCGGGAGAGAAGAGAGGGGTGAGGGCAGAAGTATGGGAGAGGGATCAGACCTGGTTGTGGGCCCTGTCAAAAACGGTGCTGGGGAATCCTTCTTTGAGGAAGAAGGTGTATATTTTGGAGGCTCCTATTTCAATGTTGCCTTCGTCTGAACATATGCCATGGAGGAACTGAGAGAATGGAATGGAGTCTTTACAGGAAGCAGAGTGCTAGTATGCATTGTCCAGGTAGCTGTGGGAGTCAGTGGATTTATAGTGGATTTTAGTGGCCAGTCTATCCCCAGAAATGGAAACAGAGATGTTGAGGAAGGGAAGGGAGGAGTCAGAGGTAGACCAGGTGAAAGTGAAGGTAGGGTGGAAATGGGAGGCAACAGCCCAGTGGTATTATCGTTGGACTGTTAATCCAGCTACTCAGATAATGTTCTGGGGACCCGAGTTCAAATCCCACCATTGCAGATGGTGGAATTTGAATTCAATAAATATCTGGAATTAAGCATCTAATGATGACCGTGAATCCATTGTCGATTGTTGGGGAAAAACCCATCTGGTTCACTAATGTCTTTTAGGAAAGGAAACTGCCATCCTTACCTGGTCTGGCCTACATGTGACTCCAGACCCACAACAATGTGGTTGACTCTTAACTGCCCTCTGGGCAATCAGGGATCGGCAATAAATGCTACCTAGCCTGCAACTCCCTCATCCTGTGAATGAATTTTAGAAAAAAATGAGTATGAAATCGATTAACTTTTCCAATTCCGGACGAGAGAGGGAAACAGCACCAGCGATATCACCGATTATATCGGAGAAAGAGTTCAGAGAGGGGGCCGGAATAGGACTTGGACAAGGAATGTTCCATGTACCCCATGAAGTGACAGATATAACTGGTCCCATGCGGGTACCCATGGCCACCTCTCTGACCTGAAGAAAATGAGAGGAGTTAAAAGAGAAGTTGTTGAGGGTGGGGACGAACTCGGCCAGGTGGATGAAGGTGTTGGGTGGGTGGGAACAGTTCAGGCCTTTGCTCCAGGAAGAAGTGGAGAGCCCTGAGACCATCCAACATGTAAAGGGATTGCACATCCACGATAAAGAGGAGGGCAGCTGGAACCTGCAGACTGGAATTTCTGAAACTGCCATAAAGTATCAGAGGAATCACGGGTGTCTGTGGGCAGGGACTGGACCAGGGGAGAAAAGACTGAGTCTAGGTAGGAACAGATTAATTTCTTCAGGAGCAGGAGCAGGCTGAAACAATGGGTCTACCGGGCAGTCCTGTTTGTGGATTTTTGGAAGGAGGTAGAAGTGAGCTGTGCGGGGCTGGGGGACTATCAGCTTGGAGGCAGTGGGGAGGGGAAGATCACCGTATGAAATGAAGTCAGTTACCATAGTTGATACAATGGCCTGATGTGCATGATGGAGTCATGGTTCAGGGAAGATGGGAGGAGGTATCTGAGAGTTGGCGCTCACTCTTTGCAATGTAGAGATCAGTACGCCTGACTACAACAGGACCAACCTTTTCAGCAGGCTTAATAACAAAGTCAGAGTTAGGTCTAAGTGGTGGCAGAATCTGCAAGGTGATTATGTTATTTACCTGTCATACAAGAATCTACAAAATGTAGAAATATATTTGCTTTTCAATTAATTGAGTGTTATTTCTCTAATGCACTAAAAATATTCTTCCCAATAACAGCACTATTTTCCTTTGCATACTTGACTTAAGTTCAGTTATTTGTGGTAGGACTGTTGAATTAACATTATATATGTTAATTTCAGATAATCTTGCGCAAAAGACATGGTCGAAGGAACTGGCAAAATGGAGGAAGGCAATAGATGATCATGAACAAATGATGCAGGCTTGGATGAAGTCATGGGTAAGAAAGTAAAGTCGCATAAGTGACAATTATTCTCAAAATCTCCCCATCGTTAAGTTATCTAGGAAACTGCTAAAGTCACAATGACATAAAAACTCTATCCTTTTCAAAACCCTTAAAACATCAAAATTAAATTTTAAAATACTTTTATTTATCTAAACCTAAACTTTTTATCCTGCATTTTTTGCAGTTACTTGCCTTCATGTTCAATACTAGCTTATTCCTTTCCTGAGTCAGTCTCTAGGATATATATTAGAGTCCCAAGGTCTGATGTCAATTTGAGTTGCACGGGTTTGCAAGCCTCCAGGGCTTTGCAGTTTTACCAGGAAATGTAGCTGAGGACAGAGACTCACTGGGGAAATGCTGGGCCTCAGCCCATCACTACATTGTACAATAAGACCAGGCAGTCGCTATTCCAGCACAGATGAGACCAATGGAATTGTAGCAAATGTTTGAAAGAATTTCCTGAGAAATTGAAGATTCAACTGGGCATCTCCCCTACCTCTAGCATGCTCCAAAAGCAATTTAAATGGGACGATTTGGAGTGCTGTGATGAAATTGAGTAAACACCTATGTCGACTATATATTTGATTATTCTAAATTCTCCTGACTTCTGAGTAACTAATAAACTGACACAACGCTTGCATGAACACGTCCCCAACTACACTTCCCCAGACAACTTGGTTGGTTTAATATATTTGCATTTATTTGCGTTAACAATAAATTTCAAGATTCTCTGAGTAAAACCTGTCGCTGTTTCTTGAATTGGGGATTGGGGAGGATAAAACTGGAAAAATTTGTTCCAGATTTTATTTTCCAGGTCCACCCTTTTCAAAGTGTCTGCAAGTTTGGCAAGTAAATCTCAAGTAACATAACTTATTTAAAAATCAACATAGCTGGAATAGTCACTTGGGTTCTACTTAGTGTGGAGCTAGTAGTAAGGAAATGGCTTTGAATTGGTTATCTCTGGGTACTATGATCCCTAGTCATGTTTCATAGTATATTCCCTACATTTTTGTCGGCTGGATCGAAAGTGTCTGTTCTTGGTCTTGCCATGTACCCACTTCTTATGGATTCAATTTTAATCTGTTAGCTAGTATGTCCTCTTTAAAGTTTGGGGCAACAGATGGGAGAACAGTTTGAATTATTCTTGCATTAATTCTAGGTAATGATTGAAATTTATCCAGTAAGTTGTCAGAATTGAAAATTCAGGAAACAACTTAATTTACATGAGACACAAAGCATGCGCATTTTTAGAACATAGAACATAGAACATAAAACATTACAGCGCAGTACAGGCCCTTTGGCCCTCGATGTTGCGCCGACCTGTGAAACCAATCTGAAGCCCATCTAACCTAAACTATTCCATTATCATCCATATGTTTATCCAATGACCATTTAAATGCCCTTAAAGTGGGCGAGTCTACTATTTTTGCAGGCAGGGCATTCCACGCCCTTACTACTCTCTGAGTAAAGAACCTACCTCTGACATCTGTCCTATATCTATCACCCCTCAATTTAAAGCTATGTCCCCTCGTGCTAGCCATCACCATTCGAGGAAAAAGGCTCCCACTGTCCACCCTATCTAATCCTCTGATCATCTTGTATGTCTCTATCAAGTCACCTCTTAACCTTCTTCTCTCTAACGAAAACAGCCTCAAGACCCTCAGCCTTTCCTCATAAGACCTTCCCTCCATACCAGGCAACATCCTGGTAAATCTCCTCTGCACCCTTTCCAATGCTTCCACATCCTTCCTATAATGCGGTGACCAGAACTGTACGCAATACTCCAAGTGCGGCCGCACCAGAGTTTTGTACAGCTGCAACATGACCTCATGGCTCCGAAACTCAATCCCTCTACCAATAAAACCTAACATACTGTACGCCTTCTTAACGACGCTATCAACCTGGGTGGCAACTTTCAGTGATCTATGCACATGGACACCGAGGTCTTTCTGCTCATCCACACTACCAAGAATCTTACCATTAGCCCAGTACTCTATATTCCTGTTACTCCTTCCAAAGTGAATCACCTCACACTTTTCCGCATTAAACTCCATTTGCCACCTCTCAGCCCAGCTCTGCAGCTTATCTATGTCCCTCTGTAACCTGCAACATCCTTCCGCACTATCCACAACTCCACC